CTCTGATGCTGAACGCCATGCCTTCGCCACTTTCTCTGCAGGCTGGGACCCTCCGTGCTCAGGTGCAAATGGGAAGGAGCCTAGAGGTAGTCTGCTGCAGCCTTTTGACTCACAGATGAGGAAATGGAGGCTCAGAGAGGTAGAGTGACTTGGAAATGTAGCCAACCCCTGCTCCTTGCAAAGTCTCGCCATGGTGAGTCTGGACCTGAGGCTTGACAGACCTGTTGGGAAGGTGGCTGTTCTCCAAGAGACTGGCTTCTGTCCAGCACCCTGACTTGGGGAGCAGGGCCTAGAGCCATTGAGCACAGCTGCATGCCCCAGGGCTTGGCCAGCAGAGAGTTCTGCAACTGGGCAGCCAGGATAGCCTGCTGAGCAACAGCGGCAAAGAGTGAGATGCAATCTCCTCTGGATGGGTTTGGAAATCATACTCTTCATACCCTTTATACCCTTGCCACAGTGGCTTTCCTCAAAGGCCCCACAAAGGGCTCTGCACGCTCTTTCTCCCCTCTAGGTTGTAGCCCCAAGGATCACTGTGAGAGGAAGTGGGGAGGGTGCAGAGGATGGCAGAGTGGTGCAGGAGGACGTCATGCTGTGGGGAGGGGTCCTGCGGAGCAGGGAAGCTCTTTCATTTGCTTGCCCACCCATGTGTGCTCATGAGAGCCTTTCCCAAACTCCAAGGGTTGTGGTAATGCAGGAGAACAATGGCAGGCAGGGGCAGGGCAGGGCTGCATCTGATGCACAGCGCTGCAACTGCTCCCTCAGAAGCACCCTGGAGGTGTCCAGTGCGGTCTGCTCAATTCTGCCACAGACCTGGTACAACCCTGTCCTTATGAGTAGGGCAGCTACCAGAGCACCCAGAGTAAGCTGCTAAGTAAAAGCACATGCCCAGCCCAGGAGAGGCCTCAGCTGAGACCTAAGCATAGGTAGCGACCACCCTGGTGAAGCAGGATGGAGGGTGGCCAGGGGGAGTGCTTCCCCTGAGGAGATAGAATACGGGAGGGACCAGAGACAAAGGGTGCCTGGGGGGTCTCTGGGGATGGCAACAGGCTTGGCTGGGCCCCTCGTGTGGGGCTGATCTCCGCAGGGGAGCCTGGGGGAGGGAACCTGGGGGAGCCTTTGCCCTACACAGTGGGAGCCATCCGAGGTTTGCATGCGTGGGGATAATATGATTGGTGTACAGCCTGCAGAGATGGCTCAGCAGCAGCTTTGCTGTGGGGTGGGGTTGGAAGAGGACTAGCTGAAGCTGGTAAGGGGCTCCCCCAGGGGGTGCAGGCAAGAGGCCAGGATGGCCTAGCCTAGGGTAAAGGTGGTCAGCCTGGCAAAAGAGGGTGGGGTTGAGGAAACAGTTAAGAAGTAGCCCCCGTGAGACTTGGGGATGGAGATGTGGGGCAGAGGGAAGAGCCGAGGGAAATACTCCGACCTGGCTGACGGAGGAGGCCTAGTAGGTGGGAGGCTGAGAGACAGTGTTTCTCCCAGCCCATTCCAGGCTGAGGACTGCAGGATCCCAGAAGCTGGAAGGACTATTGTGTGAGAACACTGTAAACTCCAGCTCTCCAGGAGACCAGGTGACACTTTACACTTTACACACTTTATTTCTCCCCCTTGGCATCCTGTGGGCATCTTTGTACCCGTGCACGTCAGTGGTGAATCAATCACATTCCCTGCCCTCAACGGGCCACGTCAAGGAACGCTAATGCAAGGCTGAAGGGCTGTGACAGGGAACCCAGAGTGCAATGGCATTGCATTACAACCTCGGTCGTCAGGGAACACTGCCAGAGAAAAGCCTTAAAGCTCAAAGCCCAAGGGCAAGAGTGCTGAAGAGATCTCAGAGATAGAGGCAAATGAAAGAGAATGCAAAGTCACAAAGAAATTTACTATGTGTCTAAAACCCAGAGAAGTTAAGCAGCTTGCCCAGGGTCACACAGTTCATTGGCAGAAAGAGAATAAGTTCAGTCTCTCATAAATGTGTGTTACGTCTTCAATAACTTTGCTATAGCCTCTTCAATCCCTCTCTTTCTCTCTTTCTCCCACCCCCCACCTATGCCTGGTTTAGAAAGATAAACAAGTCAGGGGAGGTAAGCTATCTCCTAGGGCTGGATTCACTTGGCAAGAGGGTCTAAATGACCCTTCACCTAGTCTCACCTTCCTTGACCCAATCCTACCAGCCTAGGATGCAAATCCATTAGGATCATATCTACTTTTATTTTGTTTTGATTTGTTTTGTTTTTTTTGGTACTGGGGATCGAACTCGGGTCCTAGTGCTTGCGAGACAGACAGCAGAACCACTGAGCTAGGTCCCTGGCCCTGGATCATATCTACTTTTAAATAAAAGTCTATAAAGGGCGAGGGAATTAGCTCAGTGGTGCCACACCTGCCTCCTAAGCACAAGGTCCTGAGTTCTATCCCTGGTACCAAAATAAAAATAAAAATCATAATCATAATAAACAAACAAATAAATAAAAGTCTATAAAATCAGTCAAAATTCTTTTTTTTTTTTTTTGTACCAGAAATCAAACTCAGGACCTTGCACTTGCAAGGCAGATGGTGACATCACTGAGCTAAGTCCCCAGCCCTAGTCAAGATTCTTCATAGCGCTCAATATCCCATTCAGCCAATCAGAATTAAACTATTTCTTTTGCCCAAACCAAAGCACACTTTGGTGTTATTAAGCGGATACAGCTTAAATGGCATTGCAGTCTCTTTGGGGGGAAGGGAGGGAGCATTTTTTTTCTTCCTGGTTCCCTACTGCTTTGTTGCTTTGCATATAAATAATTACTAAAACAATGATATTTAAGCTAGGCTGGACGGTGCAAGCCTGTAGTCTCAGCTACTTGGGAAGCTGAGGAAGGAGGACTGAAAGTTGGAGGCCAGCCTGGGCAACTGAGCAAGACCATCTCTCAAGATAAAAAGTAAAGGGGGCCAGAGATTTCACCTAGTTCTCCCCGAGTTTAATGCCCAGTACAGAACAAGCAAAACAGAATAGAACAAAACAAAGCAAAACATCACTCAATGAGCTCTTAAGATGTCCAAAATGTTCTACTAGATGCTGGGGAAAGAATACAAAAATGAATATGAGATAGCCTCCGTCCTCAGGAGCAGAGACTCATGTGGAATTGCGAGGACGCTGTCAGTGGGCCAGCTGTCCCCCAGATCGCGGTCGTGTTCGTGGCGGACCATCATCTAATTATGAAGAGCTCGCCGCCTCACAGAGAGAGCATTTTATATTGTCAATTATTAAATAAGCTAAGACCTTCCCCTCTTACAGATTTCAGTACCACTTTTCCCCCTAGAATGAAACTGTACATCTAATTATCATGCCAGCCTTCTCATGTTTAAAATGTGTTTTCCTGTCTATATTTTCTTCATGTGACCCAGCTCATTCTGTTTCCCTTTTTTAGAGACCTCAGAATGCTAATTTTCCATCTTAAAGGCAGTGCCCAGAACCAAGCACAGGGACAGCCCCGACCAGTGACCAATGTGGAGCCCCTGGCCCGTGGCTCCCTTTATCACTGTCCTGCAAGGGCTGCTGCAGACTCTGATCACAGTCAGCGGAAGCCCAAGTCCTTTCTCCCAGGACAAAGTTGCCCAGCTCATACTGGTGCTGCAGACTTTTCATAGCTTGGAACAGAAGTTCAAATTTCTCCCTATTTCATTTAACTTTTCTCACTGGAACCATCTCTCTGTCCTGATGAGTTTTTTCTGTTTTTGTTTAATCTTGGACTCTGTCATCAAGGTACTAGCTGTTCTTGAGCTTTATGTCATCAGAATGTTTGGAAATGTAACTTTCATGCCTTTATTCAGTGCCTTATCAAAACTGTTGACCTGGACTGGACCAAGGGCAGTGCTTCACTTGCCCCACCCGGAAATGGCACTGATAGGAAAATCAATGTGGTTTTTGTTGTTGTTGTTTTTGCAAATTCTGCTTGAGAACAACTCCCCTGACTCTATTGTCATTCAATCCACCTATGTCTTGTTCACTTAGAGACTATGGGAGATTTTTGTCTAAATGTTTTGCCAAAAGCCAGATGCACCGCCTACCCTGATGCATGCAGGATAATAGCTTGCAGTAATGCCTGAAGAAAGCAATGAGGTTGGTTTGGTGATTCTGCTCTAGTAGCCTTCTTACCATCTCCCTTTTCCTAAGATTAACCTTGTACACTAGGCTACAGAATGATTCTTTAGAACTTAAATATTCTAGAGCCAGAAGAGATACCAGGAGGGTATTCAAAATTTAATTCCTAGTTTTGCTGATGAGAAAACCAATGCCCAGAGTGCTTAACTGGTGTTCCCAAAGCTGCAGGTTAGAAGAGCAGCTCCAAGGATAACACATCTATAAGTTCAGATCTATTTCTTAACAGTATCATACAATAGTGTCTTTTTCTGAGCATGGGCACCCCCCCCATACACTTGCCTTTCTTTGGGTCTCTTTAACTGTCCACTAAGACTTGCTATGGCATCCTGTCTTTATTAGCCTCACAGGGGCCCCAAGACTTACCCCTTTCTCTTAACCCCTCCATGGTATTTGGTCTCCAAAAGGGCAGCTTGGGACTTCCCCAGTTAGATTAGTCTTTGGAGCCCTCATCTACCTAGAAGAGGCCACCCACTTTGTACCACAGTTGTGCCTGTGTGTGCCTAGGTATGGGACTTGCCTTCCAGTGGATATGTAAGTTGGGCTGTCTCTTCTAGGCAAAGTGGAAGTGGGGCCTTCCCTAGTGAGCAGCAGGCTGCTTGCCTAGGTGTCTGTGAGGCCTTAATTCTTCCTACACCTCGTGAGGGATCAGAGCCCCTGGAAACTCTGCCTAAGGGCCTGGTACAAGAGTGTGCCCCCTGCAAGATGAGGGCCCTATGTGGGAGGGTGGGCCTTTGGGCAGGAGATTAGGTAGCTTGGTTTAGGAGAACTGTGGTAGGAGAGGTGAGCCTTTAGGTGGGGCCAGATGGGGTGGCCCCTGGTACCCTTGACAGCCCCCAAGGCAGGACCCCTCACCACCCTCCCCGCCCCCCTAGGAGGTCCCCCCGCCCCCCGCCCCCGGCCGCTCCTCCTCCTCCTGCAGCTCCTGGGCTTGAGCCTTCGGGGCATGGACACTGGGTCTGCCGGCTGCCACTGCGGAGTCCTCCATGCCCCCACCGGCCTGGGCACAGGAGCCGTCACTGTGAACAGAAGGCAATGGGGCTCGGTTGGGGGAGAGGGGCATGGGGTACATGCAGCCTGAACTTCCTGCCCCGCCCCCGGCCGCTCCTCCTCCTCCTGCAGCTCCTGGGCTTGAGCCTTCGGGGCATGGACACTGGGTCTGCCGGCTGCCACTGCGGAGTCCTCCATGCCCCCACCGGCCTGGGCACAGGAGCCGTCACTGTGAACAGAAGGCAATGGGGCTCGGTTGGGGGAGAGGGGCATGGGGTACATGCAGCCTGAACTTCCTGGGCCTTTCCAGTGTTGGGGACTGGTGGGGGTGTCCCCTGCAGGTCCTTCTAGGAATGGGCTGGGAAGGAATGGGCTGGGAGGAGCCCCAGGCCAAGGGTGAACCTGAACTTGGGGAGGGCATCCAAGATAGAGGCAAGGAGTAGCGCTGGCCAGGACCCACGGCCCCCTGCTCAGCAGCAGAAGCAGAGTAGTGAAGAGTGACTGGGTGGGTCCCATTGTGCCTCTTCTCAGCTGCTTGACCAGCAGAATGGGATAATAGGACCTACTGCACAGGGGTTTTGGAAGGCTTAAAAGGAGTTAAAGTTCTTGAACTTCCTTGTCTCCAGGTCACTGCTACACATTGGTGTTAACTATTGTAACTGTCAGTGGTCTGGCTCCCTGGCCATTGGCTGAGAAAGCTGGGAGGTGGCCCATTCCACAGGGAACTGGCTCTATCCCAGGGAGTGCTACTTAAAAACTGGGCTTTGGGATAAGCCCTTCAGAGTGGGTGGCCCCAGTTGCGGGGGTGGCCTGGGCCTGTAGGAGGACTCTTGTTCTGCTGGATTTAGGGAGGCCTCTGTTCTCCCCTGGTTTCTCCTGTACTCCTGATGAGCCACCAGCAGGCTTAGCAATGGCTGCTGCCCTTGTGCCTACCCTAGGAAGACAGCTCATGGGTGGGGGCAGCTACATGCCAGCTCTGGGGACTTAGTTCTCTCAGGGTGCCTCGCTCCCTACCAGCCTCCAAATTCTGCCTCTCCCCCAAAACCCAGTACTGAGCCATCCCATCCAGGAAGCCTTCCCAAGGGACTGTGGCAACCCTAGCAGGTGTCCCTAGAGAGTCGCTGTCTGTTTCACAAAGGAAGAGCAGCATCATGTTGAATAGCATGGGCTCAAATCCAAGTCACATCCTATACTCTGTGACACTGGACAAACTGCTTTGTCTCTGAGCCTCAGTCTCCTCATCTGTGTAATGGGTGTACTTATGCCTACCTTATGGGGTTTTAGTGCAGAGTATACTACACAATACTATATAGACTGCAGAGTCCACATATACAAGGTATTCAGCACAGAGTATGCAATTAATAAATAAACTCGTGTCCCCTTCAATCCCTTCCTAGAGCCCAGGCCCAGATTTTGTTTTATGCCCATCTCCCCAGTGAGTGCTGGGCACATAACAAGCTCTCTATCAATACTTGATGAGTGAACTGAAGAGAACCTAAGGCCTTGGGAGTGGCTTCTACAATGGGCAGTGACAGAAGGCCCAGCCTGGCAGGAACCATAGGGTCGCCAGTGTGGCCTCCCATCCTCTTCTTTACACAGGAAGTCTGGCTCCAGAAAGATGCCCCTGGCCATGCCAGAGAAGGGCCTCTCCCGGTTGCTTCCATCAGCCTTGGGATGCGCAGAGGTGATCTGCCTGGAGCTAGGATAACCAGGGTGAGGTGAAGAACCCTGTCATTGCTCAGCCTCCATCTGTCCTCACCTCCGTGACACCCACAAAGGAAGGAGAGCTCTGGAGATGGCCATGGCCACAGATCTCCACAGTTCTTTCCTCCGCAATTTCTTGTGTGGCCACCAGTCAAAGTGTCTGCCTGCATGTAGTGCTAGATATCTTTCATTGTTTTTTCACTAGCATCATTAGAAAGTTCTTTTTAAGATCTAGCTTCAACTCCCCTTGCTATAGCATGTGCCTTTTCTTTCCCTGACCACATGGAAATAGCCCTTTTCCATTACTAGCCCAACTTGCATCCAGGGTCTGGAGGAAACATTTGCTCTCCCATCTCTTCCCCAGCCTGTCTGTGCTACTGAAACCCAGTTTCTAAGACTCTTTAGGGAACTGGTAACTGCTCATCATTGTTCCTTTGGGGGGACAATTATGAGGCACATTCTGTACAATCTCCCCAAAGCCCCCATAGGATTGAGCCCCAGCTGGTCAAAGCAGCAACCTGATAATTAATGGACACTTTGTGGGCTTCCTTCTAACTGAATCTCATTTCTTCACTTCCCTGGGGACACTTCTAGGTGCCTTCTTGTCCCAAAGAAACTACTTGCATTAAAACAAACCAGAAAAGGTCTTTGGTGTGGGCCTCTGGTTATGGGCCACTTCTCTGGTCTTGGTGGCCTCCACACCACCAAGGCCAGCATGCATACATGCACCCAGACATACACACACATGCCACATTTCCAGCTGGCTCTGAGGCTGTGGGCAATTTGTATCCTCCCCTGTGTCAGTTTCCTCACTTGCCACATGAAGGGAGTTTGGATTCCATTGCTGAGGCTAGCCTCCAAGGCCCACCTGCACACAGCTTGGGAACCTCATTGATCCTCTGTTTGCATATTGCGCAAGCACCTGAGAGACTGGTGTCCCCTGATGAAAAGGTGTTGGGAGAGGGTCTTGTCCTTGTCTTCCTTCGCTGGATTCTTCTATTGGCTGTGTGGTAGAAAGTGGTCCTGGAACCCCTGCGGGACTCTGACCAATAAGGCCAAGTTTAAATTTAGATAGCTGAGGGCAAAGAACATATGCTTTGGTGTCAGGAGCTCAGGTTAGAAACCTGGCCTACTTTCTATGTGACCTTGGGCAAGTTACCTATCCTCTTTGCAGCTCTATTTTCTCACTTGCAAAATGGATATCCTAGTAAGTACTTTGCAAAGTTGCCATAAAACAGATAAGGAATAATGAACCATTTATAGCACCTAGATCAGTGCCTGGCATGCAACAGTCCTTAGTGAACAGGGATAGAGGTAGTGGTGCTTTATTAGCTGAGCTAGAACCCTACAGCATGGGCTCTCAAAGAAATTACCAGAAGAATGTGGAGAATTCTGAAGTGGAGGGGGCTCGCAATATTTGGCTTTTCTGTTAACCTTCACAAAGCTGAAACACTAAAGTTTTCCCTCATAGCTCCTGGCCTTTCCCAGACTGCCAGTTGGTCTAGGTTGCTTGAGACTTCCTCCCACCATGTTTTGTCCTCTGGAGCAGCAGCGTATTGATAAAGCCATGCTCTTGGTTGTCTCTGACTCAAGGGTTCTGTTGCCTGGGAGGGATGTGTGTGCACACTGCTTGCAGCAGGGACCTTGGCTATACCCACCAATGTGGGCCTTTCCTGGGTGAGTATTGGTCCAGGCTTGCTGTGTGAATCTGTGCTTTGGGCACTTTGTCAGGGAGCAGTGGAGGGCTGAGTGTGCAGATCCTCTCCTTGGTGGCTGAGCATTCCCTCTATACAAATGGTCTGAGGAAAATTTGGGATCTTCATCCTAGGGAGGACCACCTATTTCAACTTTGATACTCTTTTCTTCAGTTCACAGCCCATTGCTTACACTCAGAACATCATCCTCCCCAAGAGCAGGCTGTGTCTTTTCAGCTTCTAAAAGTTGCTGGGCTGAACCCACATGCAGCCTCAATCAGCCTGGATGTGGACAAGCATTCCGTGGTTGGGTTTCATTCATTCATTCCGTGCCTTGAGTAACTTCTTATAAGTCCCTCCTTGAAGCCCCTAGAAAGGACGCTGGTGCTCTTTGCTCTCTGGGGCTCCACATCCAGCTGCCAAAACAAATTTCTAGGGTGACACTTCCCAATCTGGAGAAGTGGAGTCACTGATGACACGTGAGCAATTCTGCTTATCGTGAGCTTATCCCCTGGGTTGAGGCACCCATTCGAGAAGGCAAAAAGTAAAAGTAAAATGTGGGTGGCATCAAAATGAGGTGGTTCTGAGAAGACTTTTGTCTACATGCCATTAGACTGACACATACACAGGGGCCCAGAGCACCTGCAGAAATCAGTCTTTGTACAGGAACGTGAGATTCGAGTATGGGAAGTGAAAAATCTCTGAAATATTGGGGACAAGCAGCTGCTCACCGTGATATCACATGTTCTAAGAGCCGAATGACCTGTGTGTGGGAAGTGAACATAACATGAGAGGAGGCTTTCTCAGGTGGGAAGGTGGCTTGTGCTTAGAGGGAGGCTAGGAACCTGCAGGGTGTGTCTGGTGTTCTCATATGACTTCTCTGGGGTTTTAGTGGCCCGCTGCATTCTGTCATCTTCAGAGCCAATTCTCTGCTCAAAACCCACATGGCTCCCCAGTGCTGGTGGATTAAGACAACTCAGGATCTTACCCCATTTGCTTTTCCAGCCTTATCTCCACTGAGCGACTCACCCACTCTGTCTGCATTGTCCCCAAGTCTGCCAACCTCTCTCAGACCACAATACCTATCACATGATCTCCTTCACCTGAAACACCTTCTCTTTTCCATGCCCCCTTCCACCCACTCCTTTCTCTGTCTTGTCAATCCTTTCAAGACTCACTTATTGCTAGTGGTGCATGCTTGTAATCCCAGCACTCTAGGAGGCTGAGGCAGAAGGATCACAAGTTTAAGTCTAGCCTGGGCAATTCAGTGACTTAGTGAGATTCTGTCTCAAAAAAAAAAAAA